TTTTTTTATAGTGAGCTCTGTAGCAAAATGAAACAGGAGTGACCATATAATGTGATGGACTTTTTATGAACTAAAACGACAGTTTATTATATTGAGGAAGGGGCCGAGACACTTTTGTCCTTGGTGGCATTTAGAACAGTGAGTGGCACAGGGCAGGCCCTCGATAGTTATTGAATGAATTAAAGGTATATTGTCTGGAAATAAGGTTGGTAGAAAACAAACATCGGTTTCACAAAAAAGGGGGGTGTATATTGAACATGCAGTTCAATAAAACCTATTTACACCTTTATTTACTATTCTTTCTGTTCACATCTGCTCATGGTTTCAAATGTCAAAAGTTTTTTTCAAAAGGCAGGGCAAGCGATTTTTTTTTTGTCTGTGTCCATTGAGAACAGCATGGCAGTCCCCAAAATGGAAAGAGAGGCCACGCGCCCTTGTCTCCTGACTCATCCCCCTGCTTCTGCTCTTCTTGGCCAACAGTCCATTTGTTGCATAGTAGCCTGAGTGATGTCTTAGAAACATAAATCAGACCATGTCATCTCCTGCTTTAAATAGGCCAGTGGCTTCCTTTGCAGTTAGAATGCACCTCAAAGTTCTTACAGGACCCACAAGGTCCTATGTGAACAGGACCCTACTTCTCCCTCCAATCTCATTTCTGCCCACTCTCTCTCCTTGTCCCTCTGCCCCAACAACGCTGGCCTTTTTTACTGATCCTCCACCATGCTGAATTCCTTCCCCCTGCAGGGCCTTTGCCTTTGCTGTCTCCTCTGCCGGGAATGTTTCTGCCATCATTCAGGTCTCCAGAAAGGCCACTTTCTGTCCATCACCTCTATCAGATCATCTTGTTTTATTTTCTTTATGGTAGTTATCACCAGCTGAAACCATTGTGTCCAGGTACTCATCTACTGACATTCTGACCTCACTAGAACATCAGCTCTGTGTTGATCATCCAAACCCCAGGACCCAATAACTACATGCTGGGTAGATGGCTAAACGATGGACAGTGAATTGTGTTCTCAAGCTGGCTGTTGGACCTGGGCTGTTTTGCCTTGTGAGACAGGTGAAGGTATGGAGCTGCTGGACAAGGTCACTGGGAGGCTGCAGGTCCTTGTGACCTTGACTTCAGCTGCAAAGGCTCAGATCTAAGGCAACACCTGACCATGGGAGCAGGAAGAGGGCCAGTTCTCAAGAGTTGAGGCTGAGTGGGTCAGGCTGGGGCCAGAGAGGGGTTAGGGAGCTTAGATTCCCAGGTGTCTGACAACTAGGAAGTCCTGTCTCTGACCTTGGGGCAGGGCAGGGCTATGTCGCAAGGGTTCCATCTGCACTCTCTGTGACCTCCCACTGATTCACACACACTCAAAGCGTTTATTGGGCACCAACTATGGGCAGGCACTGCAGTAGGCACTGGAGATGCAACACCGAATAAGAAAGCCCAGCTCTGTCCCTTGTGGAGCTCACGCTCCAGAGGGGAAGACAGATGATGAACAAAGGGAGAAACAATTGGGAAAGATGACTTCAGATGTTGATAAAGGAAGAGGAGGCGGAAGATGAGAATGACCAGGGAGGGTGTGGCTGGGGAGGTGACTTGGATGGGGCAGTCCAGAAAGGGGTCGAGCAAGCAAGTGAGAGAGTGTGGAAGATGCTTGTGGGGAGGCCCCAGGGATCCAGCCCCCAAATGGAACATCCCAAGGCAGGGGAAGGGGAGGCAGTGAGGTGGGGGGGGACCTGGTGGGATGGGGTCAGGCTGGCCTTGTGGCCATATTAAGTTCTCTGCACACATTCCCTCTTGCCATTCCTCAACAAAGACTGAGTTAAAATGTCTTGCTTCCCACCCCAGAGGTCCTAAAGGCACAAGGAGAGCCTGCAATTGCTCCCCACCCACAAACGACGTCCCCAGTGCTCTTAACCAGAAGCACTGAAGCAAGCTCCATCTGGGCAAGCGGCAGACGCATCGCCGTTGGGTCTGTCTAGACCAGCCCTGGGAATGTTGGCGATTTTAATTCTACGTCTTTACTGTGACCCTCCTGGAGGGGCTCGAGGACGACTCCACCCAGAATTGGAATGGAAGAGGGCTAAAGGATATTTGCTCTTTACTTGAGGCCGGATCCGAAATGTTAAGGACATCTAAGAACATTTAAATGTGTGTAAAACATAAATATTATTTTTGATCAGTTCTCTGGACATCTACCCTTTAGTAACAGGGAAAAGACACTTGTTTGAAAACTCCTTTCAGAAAACCAAGTGAGCATACGGCCGTATTGACAGAAGAGAGAAAGTACTGGTTGTAGAGAAAATACTGTGAGAAAGTAGGTTTAAAATAGAATCAAGTTTCAGAAATTCTCAGAAAGTGAAGGAAAACAAATACCATGCTTCTTTGACTCTGTAATTCTCCTTCAATTCTAGCGAGACAAAGATGTCTGTGCCCAAAGATGCCAATTTCAGTATCACCTCTCATGATGTGCACTCATGGGCACACACGTGTGGGCACACATGCACACTCAGAAGTGAATACAGTTCATAACACATGGGACTCCATCACTAAAGTACACGCAGATTCTATTTTCATAAATCAGGCACTTTTAAACTACCCAAAATCCCAAACAAAGGTTTACATATAATAAAATCACTTATTCACCCTGTCTTCTAGACCCAACTTTCCAGCATTTCTCGAACGGAGTTGAACATAGAGTCAGCCAGCTACCGTCCAGTAAGCCAACAAATGACGTGTTAGACAGACCACTTGGCCACACATGACGAGCTTCTACCTCTTGCATGTGTACCACTCCCAGTGTTTCCTATCACTAACGTCATCCTATTTATCTTTCAGTTTCTCTTGGTTTTATACAAGATTTAGGGAAAACCTAATGAAAGTCAGCTATACAAAGGCTGCTGGGCACAGAGGTAAAGACTCTACTTATACGGAACCGTTGGGTGACCATCAGCAGCAGCAGGGGACGGCGTGATGCGCAGTCACTGGTCACCACCCACTGTCCGCAGGCCACCTTCAGGGTATGAGAGGTGTTCCGGGGTGCCCCCGATGGACATGAGCTTGCTTCAAAGCCAAATGCACCAAAACTGAGAACCACTTACATGGTATGGCCCCTGACTGCATTGTGTCGCCATCTAATAAAAACCAATTAATTAGCAATAATCAAGGAGATGAACTGTGCTGAAATAAATGGAACTCTAATATGTATTGTTAATTGTAAAAGGTGAGAAGCTCAACCGTTGTTCAGTTAGTGCTCCTGTTTGTAGAAAGCCTTTTATTTATTTTTATTTATTTTTTTAGATTTTATTTATTTATTTGACAGAGAGAGACACAGCGAGAGAGGGAACACAGCAGGGGGAGTGGGAGAGGGAGAAGCAGGCTTCCCGTGGAGCAGGGAGCCCGATACGGGGTTCGATCCCAGGACCCTGGGATCGTGACCTGAGCCGAAGGCAGAGGCTTAATGACTGAGCCACCCAGGCGCCCCTTGTAGAAAGCCTTTTAAAAAGTATATTATATCATATGTGCATTGACAGTTTGTAGGGGACCCAACAAACCCTGAGCTGAGGTTGCCTCTGGGCTAGGAGTTGAAGATGTGAGTTCTTGCCCTCGTACTGCTGTGATGTAGACTGAGTATTAGAAGGATGTTATTAATTCAACGTTAAATTTCCTTGCCTGGGATCGTATTGGAGTTGTGTAGAAGAATGTCCTTGCTTTTAGGAGACACATGTTGAGGTGAAGCATCATTTAGGGGTGAAATGTCATTATGCCTACAATTTGTTTTCAAATGGTTTAACAACAGTAACAACAAAGTGTGCGCACACGTGTGTCTAAATATACACAAGTAGATGCAGACAAATGTGACAAAGTGCCAGAAATCAGTGAATCTAGGTAAAGGATATGCAGGGATTTACTGAATTACTTCCCCCCCCCCAGTTTTCCAATGGTTTAAATTTTTTTCAAAGAAAATAGTTGGGTATAAAATTCTAGGGTAGCTTAGATATTTACACGCAATCCATATAAGAGAGGCTGTCATAGGTTACTCGGTTACATAAATTCCACGGTGACATCCATTGTTATTATTTTAATACTAAGTAACATATATGTAATTCATATAAACAAGCTTTCCCTTTAGTAACTGTTTCATTTTTTTCCCCGTTCTACTTCACATTTTAAAAAGGCAGAGCGAGAAAATCCTTGAGCTTCATTTTCCTTGTGTCCCAGCTGTTTTTCCTTTAAAGCAGCCATTACAACTTTCTAAATAGTGACTTTTTTTTTTTTTAAAGATTTTATTTATTTATTTGACAGAGAGAGGCACAGCGAGAGAGGGAACACAAGCAGGGGGAGTGAGAGAGGGAGAAGCAGGCTTCCCGCCAAGCAGGGAGCCCGATGCGGGGCTCGATCCCAGGACCCTGGGATCATGACCTGAGCCGAAGGCAGACGCTTAACGACTGAGCCACCCAGGCGCCCCAGTGACTCTTTTTTTGATTCATGCCACAGACTTGAGCCCCACTCACATGTACCAGTATAAAAGTTCCCGGGAAATGGTGTGCGGAATACCCCCTGTGGACTCAGCCCACGGGAGGCTGAAGCCAGATCTAGACTCTGCTCTTGGGAAGGAACACAGAATCAACCAGGTCACCTGGGAGTGACACTAAGTGTCTGCAGGGTCCAGAGAGAAGAGAGGTCAAGGTGGGCTGAGGCCGAGCCTCACATCTTGCTCGAGAAGTTTGTTAGAAAGCGAGTGGACCCAAAGGGATGGATGGGTTGTGTCGTGAACCCCAGAAACTGGCTTCTGCTAGGAAGTCATTTGCATCCATCTCTGAATCAAACTGGCAGTAGCTTTAGAACACGTTATCTTTTCCACACTAAACTTACATTAAATTTCTCCATCTCAAGCTCACGTTACTAGTATTTACGACTCCACTAGAAACTTGGAACGAAAATCGGTCACTGTCCTTAACCATAACGGGTTGTTTTGCCCCCGCCCATCCAAATAGCCCCCGTCACTCACCTTGGGCGCACCATCCATGATGCCTGCCCCCTTCATCTTGGTGTGGAACAGCTCCCGTGAGCTCTCCAGCTGATATCTCCGGCTTCAGAGGAGGATTATGCAATGTCACCGCATGCTTCTGGCCGGTTCTCAGAAACTGAATTCTATGGAGTTATCTGACAACACAGGAAATTGTCAAAACGATTCTCCCAGCAGGCAAACTTTCTGGAAAGCACAATAAGAGGAAAATGAAGGCGCTGATGGAGAGGGGACAGAAATCCAGGCCACACTCACTCCTCGATGCTTGGCATCTCACTTGGTCTATAAGTAGAGATTGTCACACATTTGCTATGTGAAACCACAAAAGAAGAAAAAAAACAAAAACGCTCTTCCGCCTTATAGGGTGAAGTTCCTACTTTGAAAGCTCAGGGTATGAACGCTCCACATTCTCGTCCCCATAAACACTGTGAACAGCTTCCACCAAGCTCATTCTTCTGATTAGAGGCCGCTAGGCCAAATTGGTGATCGTGGTCAGTGTCTCTTCCTTCCTGCTTCCTAAACTTGCCCCTCAAACAGCCAGGAGAAAACAAGTCAAGGGGAATGCCCTAAAGGACCTAGTCCCGACCCATCTCTCCTCCGATACACACTGCTCCTCGCTCTGACCCCATGCTCACCTCCTTGTCTTGGCTCACAAAACTTCATGATGAGCATTTTCCGAGCGCTGACTCTGTACCAGGGCTGCTGAGCACTTTTCAGTACAGTTTAAATTATCTTTTTTTTTTTTTTTTTTTTTTCGAGAGAGAATGAGAGACAGAGAGCATGAGAGGGAGGAGGGTCAGAGGGAGAAGCAGACTCCCCGCTGAGCAGGGAGCCCGATGCGGGACTCAATCCAGGGACTCCAGGATCATGACCTGAGCCGAAGGCAGTCGCTTAACCAACTGAGCCACCCAGGTGCCCTAAATTATCTCTTTTTTTTTTTTTTAAAGATTTTATCTATTTATTTGACAGGGAGAGACACAGCGAGAGAGGGAACACAAGCAGGGGGAATGGGAGAGGGAGAAGCAGGCTCCCCGCCGAGCAGGGAGCCTGATGCGGGACTCGATCCTTGGACTCCGGGATCATGACCTGAGCCGAAGGCAGTTGCCCAACCAACTGAGCCACCCAGGCGCCCCTTGAAATGCATTTTTTTTTTTAAGATTTTATTTATTTGCGAGAGAGACAATGAGAGACAGAGAGCACGAGAGGGAAGAGGGTCAGAGGGAGAAGCAGACTCCCCGCCGAGCAGGGAGCCCGATGCGGGACTCGATCCCGGGACTCCAGGATCATGACCTGAGCCGAAGGCAGTCGCTTAACCGACTGAGCCACCCAGGCGCCCTAAATTATCTCTTAAATCTCACCCACCCATCGTCTGAACTTGAAACCAGAGCACTGGCTCACTGCAGTTCAGCATTACTTGCTAAGTCTTTTTACTTTCCCTAAATTCGGACTAAACATTCAGAGAGAACGTACAGGGAAGAAGACTCCTTGTTAGGCACATTCCCAGTTTTATTTCATTTAAATGAACTGGTACCCATTCTTCCGAGCCTGGCTCAGGTTGCATTTCCAACAGGTGGTCTCTCCCTATTGCTACCTTCCTGCCATTACAGCGCTCACTGTCTGGTCTGCTGGCTATCCGTCGCAAGTCTGAGCGACGGATAGGACCAGGAAGGACTTACTGGTGGGAATAGCTGACTGATTTCTGGCTGAGACAATTCATATTTTCAATTGTTATCATCGTCGGAAGTTAACTTCCGGGGCCGAGTAATTGACGTGTCGCAGATGGGAGCAGATAACCGGGAGGGAACAATGACCCCACAGAATGAGAACACAAGCTGACTTAGCAGCAAGTTCCAAGTGGAGATCCACAGAGAGGACGATAGAGATGGGAGAATGGGGAGTAATGCAGGGAAGGCTTCATGAGGAAGGCAAGATATGAGAAGCAGGGGCCGATCAGTATAGAAGCAGAGCTTGTTTCTAGCTGCAACACCATGAATATGCAAAAAAAGAGATGGAATTAGCAAGTTCCATTTAAGGTAACCAAGCAGATTCAGATGGAAGAGCAATGAGTCCTAAGGGCTGAGGTTATGAATGACAGCCTGGACTAGCAGAAGGATTTTATCCTATTAGTTTTTACAGATAGGACAAATCATTCAAGCGGTACTCCTGCAAGGCGTAGAGATAGAAATACTTGTAAGGCAAAGCCCTCTACAAAATGGCAGGTGATTTCCATGTCGTTGAATGTGAATCTGGACATTGTTCGGGGGTGTGCCTCTTCGCTCCTGCTTTCTTCTGGCCCTAACCTGCACCTCTGTGTTCGTGGGCGTGGGTCATCCCGCATCTCAGATGAGGAAGATGCAGGCACGACTGAGCTAAGCCTGAGGTTCACATTTCCAGGGTGGGATCGATTAACCTCAATGTGATGCTTCCATGTGTATTTAGATGTCATTATGTCATGATTTTGTTTTAAAAAGTCCTTATCTCTCAGACATACATACTGAAATATTTACAGATAAAGATCTGAGAGTTGCTTCAAAATAATTCAAGAGAGGGGAAAAAGGCTAGAGGTATATGTAAAAGATTACCTATGAGTAGCCAGCTGGGGAGTCTGAGTGATGGCTACGTGGACATTCATTATACTGTACTGTTGACATTGAATTAAAAAAAACAACAGCTTTATTAAGATAGAATTCACATACCACAAAATTCACCCTTTTAAAGAGCACAGATTCAGTGTTTGTTGGGTTTTTTTTTAGTATATTCAGAGTTGTGCAACCATCAGCACTATCTAATTTGAGAATATTTCATCACCCTAGGAAGAAACCCATACCCATTAGCGGTCACTCCTCATCGCCCTGTTGGCCTCCAGCCCCTGGCAACCATTGTTTTTTTATTGTATAATGGACCTTTGCATATATTTGAAAATAAGTAAAAAGGATGGACAAACTTGCTCAAGGTCACACAGGGATGGGACTGAGGCAGAATCCAGACCCAAGCCTCTCAGTAAAAAGCTAGACTTCATGCCAGGTCCAGTCTGGACAGTTCCCACCATCTTGGCAAACTCCTAACAGTGATTCTTCCCACTATTGAAGGGCCGACCCTGGAGTTCCAGATACAGGTTAGAATGCTGTAATTTGCATGTTTTCTTATTTATTCACTTATTTAGGAGAAACAACCTAAATTTAAAAAACAGAACGAAGACACAAAAGTCATAGATTTGGTCCCAAAAGGAAACAGACTCACTCTTACCCGGATACCTAGTGTTGTATTTTGTGAATGTGGGGCTTGGCTTCTCAGTCTGCTATTTGGCCCTGTCATTTTTCTGAATGAAAGGCCTTAGACATTTTGCTGCAATCCATTTGTATTTACTTCTTTAGGCAAATGTGTCCTTCTGTGCACAAATATTGCAAGAATTTGCTATTGTAGGAAATTGGGTGGCTTTCGTAATATCCTGCTGACTGAAGGTTGAAACAGCTAGAGTTCAAGGGAACCAGCTCCGAGACTCTGATAAGGTAATTTCCCCCCTTCTCTTGACAAACGCTCCTGAGAACAGTATCTTGGATGAATTTTCTCTTCAAAACCTGGAGTATCTGACCACTTCACTTCTATAGCTCCTAATAAATGCACAGGAAGGTAGACTGCTTTTGTAGATGGGACTGTTTTTTGGGATGCTTTATACTGTTTTCATGCAGACTTTGAGCTCTCAAGCTCCTTGAGGGGTGGTCTTCGAAGGCTGGTCACTCAATGCCTGAGTTTTTAAAGTGAAGCTGGACACCAGGTGAAGAACATCCAGAGCATTAAAGGCTTAGCAGGAAATGTCAGACTGCATGGTTTTAAAATCATCTAGTAATCTGGCAGCTGTTAACCTTAAGAAGATAACTCAAATACAGCTCTTTGGGTGAAAGGAGAGTTTCATAAATTGTCAACAAATTCACCTAAATTCCCTAATGCATGGATAAAACAGGGAGGACTAGGATTCTAATTGTCAGTGATGACTCTGTTTGATAGCCTGAATTTTGATGCCAAGGTGGAGAGGGAAAAGGAAGCAAGACTTGAGAAACAGGACACAAAAGAAATGCTGTGGGCATCAAGTGGGCCAAAAGCTGGAGGAGAGGGGCTGAGTGTTAAGAGTAGCTCGAGAAAACCCCAGGGTAGAACCTGGGGGCACAGGCAAGGGGTCACTGTCAGGTGAGCAACCAGGCTGTGAAGAGTAAATTGGCCAAATGCTGAGTGGGAAAGAGGCTTCACAGATTAAAACGCCCACAAAGGGAGTCGGAAGGTAAAGGAAAAAAGCTCCAGAAAAAGGCCAGAAACCTAAGGAATGAAAGTGATAGAAATGTCAACTATTGGGGCGCCTGGGTGGCTCTGTTGGTTAAGCGTCTGCTTTCAGCTCAGGTCATGATCTCAGGGTCCTGGGATGGAGCCCCATGTCCAGCTCTCTGCACAGTGGGGAGTCTGCTTCTCCCTCCCTCTCTCTGTCGAATAAATAAATATAAAAAATCTTTTAAAAAATGTCGACTATTTTCTAAAAGGTTTTTGTTGTTGTTCAAATCCCCTTTGTCACTTTTTTAAGTCTCTTGGTCCTCGGTCCTGTTTCAGCTTTTCATATTCGATGCACTCACATATCGTGCATCTGATTAATTCCAAGTCTTCAAGTCTGACTCTGTCTAGTTTCTACTGCTTCTCGTCATAGGGGGGTTTCCTTACATACTTGATTATGAACCCATGGTTCTCAGAGCTGGATCTGGGAGAACTGGGGCCTGGGGTAAAGATGTGTTCTTCCTTCATCTGTGCTGGCTTCTGTCAGGCGCTCTTGGACTTGCTTTAGATTCTCAGCTCGCTTTTCTCGAAGCCACTAGTGCGAGTGGTTTGTTCCCACCTTATGTGGACAAATAGCTTGTAGATGGGATTGTCAGAGAAGACCCTCGCCACAAACCTGAGCCAGCACCCAGTCAGGCGGCTATCCTCTCTCCGGGAGGCGGGGTTTTTGTCAAGTTCACCCTTTCAGGGAATGGGGCAGTTTCTGGGTTCTGGGCTTTCTTCCTAGGTCTGGACCAAAGCTCCCACCATGTGAGGTCAGAGCTCAGAAATCATTAGGCTCCAGGGGACTGACAAATGTCCTCGGTGCAGCTGGCTGCCCCCTAGCTCCTGAGTGTCTGGGTTTGTGATTTCTGGTTGTTTTGCCTCTCAAAAATTCCCTGAGAATTTCTTGCTAGCTCAGCTATTCAGAGATTAAAAATAAAAATAAATTCTATACAGGTGTGTACTGAAAGGGCTCTCAGAGTACCTGGTCCACCGTATTTTCAGAAACAGAAGTCTCCCCCTCTCCCAAACCTGTTTCTAGCATGCGGTGTTTAAAAAAAAAAAAAAGTGCCTTACTGATTGAGTGCATGTTGGGGATGATTTTGATTAAGCTCTTTAATCACATAAAGAAGCTGTGGCCCTGCAGAGAAGTGGCTTGCTTTACTACTAAACAAGTCAGTAACAGAGCTGGGACGCCTCCCCCTTCCCACAACATCGCCCTTCCTAAGGGAAACCAAAGTCTAAGGTAGAAGGTTGGTTTCTCTGACTCATCAAAAGAAATGGAATTATACTTTAGTTTTGGGATAAGGTACATAGCTAAAGGAGATCTGGCTATAAAAATCTGACTTCTAGAACGAAACACTAAAGAAACAGTATGAAAAGTACCAAAGTCATAACTGCTGCTTGACGGCATATGTTCAAATATGGAAACATTCAAAGCAAGGCCCCCCAAAAAAGAACTAGCTTTAAATTATCATTATATACAAAAAGTTTATTTTAGAAATCACATATCTTTAAAAAATAACATAGAAGTTATAAGTTTTTATCCTGACTTATTATTCATTGTTTGAAAGCCAGGGTGTTCCGTGGTACAGTTAATGACATGCTGATGTCAAGCCCATGTAATAATCCTGGCACTTACACCAGTTCAAAATATTAATGTGATTTTTATTTTATTTTTTTAACGATTTTATTTACTTGAGACAGAGATAGCAACAGAGACAGGGAGAGAGAGCAGGAGTGGGGAGGAGGGGATAGAAGCAAACTCCCCACAGAGCAGGGAGCCGGACACGGGGCTGGATCCCAGGACTCTGGGATCGTGACCTGAGCTGAAGGCAGACACTTAACCCACTGATCCACCCAGGTGTCCCTTAATGTGATTTTTAAAAGAAAAAAAAGTCTGTTTTGGAAACACACAAAAGTATCTTGATCTTGTAAGTAGGAGTCCTGAAACTACAGATCCACTGGTGAGACTATTCCAGAAACTGGAAAAAGTAGGCATCATTATTTAAATTCATGAACAGTTAAAAAGACCCAGTGGAACTTAAATTGGGGAATGCAACGGGGTCACTCTACTGCATGTGGGAGAGCAGAGGGACGTGGAAATGTTCACTCTCTGTTATAGTTTCATAGGGCCAAAAGCAAAAGAAATAGCAGAAAAAGAAGCGAGGAGTTCTGGTTGGTAATTTTTTATGGAACTGGTTATTCTTGTTCCTATTCCGTAGATTTCTTCTAATCTTACAAAAGCAGCACTCACAGATGGCCAAGTTCAAGTGCTGGAGAATCAGGACACAAAATAAAAATAAATCCAAACTCACTATAGACCAAAAAATATAGCTCTTTGGAAATCTGAACTAAAACTCTGATTTAACACATTAAGCATGCCTAAAATGGTTTCATAGACCAAAAAGTTGAAATGCTCCTTGAGGATGACTAATGCAGAATTTTTATGCAGTAAACCTCAGAAGATTTTAAAGTTCCTATAACATAAAACACTAACTTTAATCTATTTAATATTTTTATCAAATGACCCTAGATTCTATTTCTAGGTGCTCCTACCTAGATCATGAGGTTCTTGTATTTGGGGATAAATATAAACCAAAGTCTATCTTTCAGAGGGGAGGTTAGGGTTCCCTGACCTAGCTTGAGCTGAATCCAGAGAAATAGTGTCACTTTCTAAAAAGTTTTGAGAAAAAGAAAACCCCTATCGGTTGGTTAATTGCAAAAATCTTCCAAGAACATAGCTCCGGTGTGCATCCACGATGAGTAGTGACAATTCATGCTGAAGAGAACTGAAAAATGAGATTTAAAATTACACAAGAACAAAGTCAATCGATATTAATCATCTGTGAAACAAGCAACACTGGAGAGCGGCAGCGGGGTCACCTAATTTTGATTAGATTGGATGGATCTTCAATTAGGTTTTCCATCAACCGGTAATAATCTTATGAGAAGTATTTACTGAAGATAAGCATTTGCAGGCAATGAAAGGAGAAGGTGGGAGGTATGATGAAACATATTGTCTCCTACAAATCTTCAGGAAAAACTGACCGCTAATTTTACTGAAGTGAAAAAGGTGTAACACTAAAGTTGGAGATTCGAGCTTTATTTTCAGGATGATGTCATTTTAGGATAGAACTGATGGATTCTCTAAACTGGTTTTAATATGGCACAACACTCTTGATTCTCAGAGCTGTATGCCTACTTATCTGCCCAAATGTATTCTGCAAGGAGATATATAGACAAAGAGGTTGTAGAACAGGCACAGAAGTTGACAAAACCATCAAACGAAAATTCCTCAGGACAGATCCACTTGAGATCTAGAAAGCACTTTAATACTCTATCCTTCTTCAAATGATCAAGAGATTCAAGAGAAATGGCAAGTCCTGTATTTACAAAACCGATGAAAATCACACTGTAATAATCAGTGAATGCAGAACCACCGCACAGATCTGCGTTTCCAACTTTTCCCACCATGATTCTACATCAAGGTAAAAAAAGATTCTTTTGTACAAATCCAAGAAGGATGGAGAGGTGGCAGCATGACTGCCAGGTGGTGCAGTGACTTACTACCGGAGCTGGAGCTGGTGATGGGATGCAGGGGCAGGAGGGGCACAGTCGAGAAAAGAACCCCATATCTTGGAGGCGGGCTAGTCCGTGGTTGATCTCCGGTACCAAAACCGTGCTCGGAAGTCATCGCTGCAGGTCATGAAGCCGGGGTTGGTGGGCGAATGCACAATGCAGCGCACGATGTTGTTGTGGCCCAGGGAGAGCAGGTTCCGGCGCTCGGCTGTGCGAGAATCCCAGCAGCACAGACTGATGGTCCTCTCGTCCGGCAGCAGTACGTAGTCCTCGGTGTGGTTGAACACGGCCTGCGTCCGGTGCACCTGCCGCCCGCTCAAGCCGGCACCTGCAAAGAGACGAGAGGGTAAGGGTCTGAGTGCCAGGGCTAGCTGCCCACGTTTACATTTTCCATCCTCAGACTGCTGTACTTTGGTTAATTATCCCGTCGATGGCAAAACAGCATTTTAAAATGGAAGGAACACACATTTATTGTGCAATTTGGGACACTCCACGAAAGTATGCAGAAGAAAATCACCCCGGGCTCACCACCTCGGGCAACTAACTGTGAACGCTCTGATGTACTTCTAGGCATAAAAACATCTTTAAAAAAATACAAAATTGGTGCTATATTGTATGTCTTTTCTGTCATAGTTTAAATCAACTTTTTGTTGGGTACATTCATTCTTCCATGTTTTTTTTACTGGCTGCAAAATACACCACTGTTAAGAAGCACTATTACTAGCTAATTCTTTTCCTGCTAAGCATTTAGTTTGTATCTGACTGCAAATAACACTGTGACCAATTCTTTGTATTGAACACATTATTTCCTCAGGATTAAATTCCTAGAACAGAATTACTGGGATGAATGAACATCTGCTCTCCAAAAGGAAGCTTTAGGCTTTTTTAGGACCATGAAAATACAGATTTTATGTTTAAAATACTGTATGAAGCATAAAAAATTAAAACTGCCTGACAATTTTATACCCAGAGTCAATATTTTGACGAATATCCTTTCTCAGTATCTCTGTATATTGTCCATCATTTGTAAAGCAGAGCATACATCATGTGTTTTTTTTTTTTTTTAAGATTTTATTTATTTATTTGAGAGAGAGAGAATGAGAGACAGAGAGCATGAGAGGGAGGAGGGTCAGAGGGAGAAAAAGACTCCCCGCCGAGCAGGGAGCCCGATGTGGGACTCGATCCTGGGACTCCAGGATCATGACCTGAGCCGAAGGCAGTTGCTTAACCAACTGAGCCACCCAGGTGCCCACATCATGTGCTTTTATTCAACAGTCTATAAAGATGGAATATAGTTTAATGGATAAAAATATAAGTGTTGGTATCAGATCTGGATTCAATACTTACTAGTGATGTGAACACGGACAAATTACATAGCCCTGTCACACCTTCAATTTCTCTTCTGTTCTGTGGAGGATAATTACAGCACCTACCCACAAGTTGGTTGCAAGGATCAGCATGAGGTATAACACATATACAGCTGTGCAGGGTGAGTATTTACTTTTAAAGGCTGCTTACCGTGAAAAGGATGCTGAACAACAATTTACTCAAAGCTTTCTGGTGGACATTTCTGTTATCTCTCCCTTTCCCCTACTCTAGATAATGTTGGGATGGACATCTTTCTGTGTGTGCCTGTGCATGCTTGACGAGAGAGTCTTTTTTTTTTTTTTTAATATTTTTTTTTAAAGATTTTTATTTATTTATTTGAGAGAGAGAGACTGAGAGAGAGAGAGCATGAGAGGGGGGAGGGTCGGGAGGGTCAGAGGGAGAAGCAGACTCCTCGCCGAGCAGGGAGCCCGATGCGGGACTCAATCCTGGGACTCCAGGATCATGACCTGAGCCGAAGGCAGTCGCTTAAGCAACTGAGCCACCCAGGCGCCCGACGAGAGAGTCTTTTTAGACTGAATTTCTAAGAGTGCAGGGCACCTGGGTGGCTTAGTCATTAAGCGTCTGCCTTCGGCTCGGGTCATGATCCCAGGGTCCCGGGATCGGACCCTGCATCGGGCTCCCTGCTCAGCGGGAAGCCTGCTTCTCCCTCTCCCACTCCCCCTGCCTGTGTTCCCTCTCTCGCTGTCTCTCTCTCTGCCAAAAAAAAAATCTTGAATTTCTAAGAGTGCACATAGTGGGTCCAATGCTGAAAATTTTGATACAGGACACGAACCTGCCTTTTAGAAATACTTTACCAGTTGACACTCCTAACAATAAGATATTTAATTTCCTAAAATGTTGATCAATACAAGATAATAGCAATCTTTTAAATTCCCGCCATCTGATGAGTACATAAGATCCTTCCATTTTCATTTCTTAGGTTTACAGTACTGCAGGTCACCTTGCTCTCCTTGAGCTCACTGACCACCGATATGTGTCCACTTCACATGCTATGCATATTGTTTCCCTAGTTCAGCATTTTAATTTTTAGTGTTTTGAATTAATTTTTAACACTGAAATTTCTAATGCTTGTTAGTCTTTCCTTGTCTTTCATTATTTCAAGAATCCTTTGAATTCTAACTAAACACTGAAGCTGGAAACACAGAACTAAGCATGCTGACATGGAGTCTTAACCTGTGAATTAGAAAATGAGGGAATTTGTATATAAATTCAGTATAATCTCATTTTAAAATCAAATCCCAATTCTCCACCAAAACAAACCAATCAGCCACAAATAAGCATGAAACATCCCAATATTCACAAGACAAAACAAACATAATAAATCTTGTGAGAATCTAGTGTGTACCCTTCCTGATACATCACACGCAGATGGTGGTTGTTACTTCTGAAGAGGGAGGAGGCTTTCCCGCTTTTACTTTGATCATCTTTCTATCTTCTTTTTGCAACAAGCACACAGTCCTTGAACAGTAAGAATTAAAGAAATTCTTCAAAATAGCTCCATACAAAAGTTTTTCAACAAAGTCACCAAGAATTATGATAAAAATGACTCTTCTCAAGACTTGCTAGTTAGTTGTACCGTGTTATGTCAGAAGGCAGACGGATGGCAGGAAGGGAACTCTGGTTACCATGAGATCAATCTGAGGGGGTTATGCTGCACCCTAGTGGTTCAGATGTCTCAGTCTCCACCTCTTGAGTTTTCTTCTCTAAAGGGCTAACTAATAACCACCACCGCCCAGCCCTTACAATGCGTTGTTTTCTTATAGAGTTCTGGTCCTGGTGATTTTAGTGTATGACACAAACATCTCACAACAGAGGAAACCAGCTGAAGTTTCCTGGAGATCTTCTACCAAACAACAGCCTTTTCAGCTCCAAGGAACAGGGAATGAGACAAAATATTTTACCAACACTCACTGCCAAGTAACTATTAGGGCTACCTGCACTCTTAGAAATAGGCCAAGATCTTCCCTCTCAGCCTTCTTTCCCTAATGCACAGATTTACTGAGATCCACTACCTCAGGCTTTTCTCTGGACTGCTCTTATGTTTGAGGGAAAAAGGCAGACCACTGGTCTACAAATGGACCACCAGAATCTCAAATGTTACTTGCATGGAATCAGATCTTGCTGAAGCTGTAACGTATGGAGAAGAACAAGGTTATGAAACGATGGTTCTACTTCCAGCTCTGCTTCTTACGAACTGCAGCCTTGGCTAAACTACTGAACGTCTAAGCCTTGGTTTCCTATCTAAAAGAGGGATCACATCTGCCTTGCTCAACGCATACATCTATTGTGTGGCTCTCGTGAGGATTTAAGAGCTCTGGAAACCATAAAATGCTACGGAAAAAATGTTAATAGCAATTTTTCGCATACCTGTGTATCTGACCAGCGTCCGTCCTGTTGATATCTCCCAAAGTTTGGCTACAGAGTCTTTCCCACTGGAGAGAATGTATTTAGAATTTTTGGAGAAAATGGCAGAGCAGACTTCAGCACCATCATGGGCTTTCTCAAAAGTTGTGATGCATCGATTGGAAACACCGTCCCATAACTTGATGCAGCCGTCCTTGCTACCAGTTACATACATATTGGCACTAGGATTGTAATTCACGGAGCATATAGCGTCGGTGTGTTGATCTTGAGGATTGCAAGAGACAAAACACTGAAATGTATTGATATCATAAAGCCGAAGAGTAGGATGCTGAGTCCCAACAAGGATAAAGTCTCCGGAAGGATGAAAAGAGATGGAGCGTAACATTTCAGCTTCCTGTTAGGACAGAGACATTGACATTAAGTGACTAACTAGTGAACAACAAAATCCAGAGGAAATGTGGAAAATATCTGGTTGGTGGAAAGAATACATAAAACAACAGTCAGACGTTACACAGGTTTAAGAAGGAACAACGAACTTTCTAGAATACAAGAAAGTATCATTTGAACAGAGATTTCAAAAACTATTTACTGGTGAGATTATTTATTCCAAAAACCACAGAAGCGAGCTTCTTATTTGCAAATGAACACCAGGTGAACTCAGAATGGAACATTATCAGGCTAGGATACAAGCACACGTGAATGAACAAGGATAAACACAACTTGTACACGTGAACAGCTTCTTCAATTTGTCCTAGGTCTCCAAATATTGAGTGAAAAACTAAGTTAAATTATTAAAAAGTAGAAGCCACTACCAAAACATTAGTATTTCTGAACTGCAAATTCAAAATGTGGTACCAAATGTCACTTTTCCAGGAAACATCTGATAGTTTCAACTGAGTAATTTTTTGAGTCCCATTAAGTTACATTTCAGCAAAGTTGATTTGTCTTTACACAGGGTTCCGCAACCTTTAAAAAGTGATACAGATTCTGAACCCTTGTTGCGTAAACTGGCCAGAAGTCCTGACCGGCCAGAAGAGGTGGGCACAGGGCAGCATGTGGACCACGTGTCCATGCAAACTGGATTCCTGAGCCACCTGCGGCATGTGTCCTTGTTGTGTCCTCCAGTTTTATACGGTGATCACTGAGACTACTTTAAGAGAATAGTCATACAATAATAGCTCTTTGTTTTTAAGAAAAAAATGTAAAGCTCCTTTCCAAACATTCCTAACCTGAATGTATTTGAAGGCTCTTTTTGCAGATGGTTTGGAATAATCAAATAATTTAAGAGTATAATCCCTTGAACCAGAGGCAAGGATCTGTTCTGTCGGGTGGAAAGCGAGACATGTGACTTCATCCACGTGGTCGTAAAGCGTTCGGATCACTGGGTGGTTTTCCATGTTCTGTTGTGCAGTCTCATTCATCATGACCTAGACCAATGAGAAAACAGATGCTCAAAATCTAAAATCTGTCTGACTCAAAATACCCAACTATGCTAAGTTTGGTCCGGTCTAAACTGGTCTCTCATTCTCCCAATGAACAACAGGCAAATAGTACGTATGTTACTGGGATTTTACCTCGATTGGCATGGCACTTTTGGCCAACATTCTTTCTGTGTCAAGTATCTTTATGGAAGCATCAGCAGATCCAGTAGCTATTAACTGCCCATCTCTACTGTAGGTGGCCACGCGGCACGGTCCTTTATGGGATGTGACATAGCATGTTTCGTACTCTGAAGCCTCTGGGGACATAGTTTGGACGTCTGCATCAAATTCCAGGTCAATTCCTGTGCCCGGGGCAACTGTATCTGAACGACCAATTGCATACTGAACTGCAGTATCGTCATTTTCCATTCCTGAAAGGAATAAAAATTAAGTGCATGAGGGGCGCCTGGGTGGCTCAGTCGGTTAAGTGTCTGCCTTCCGCTTGGATCATGATCCTGGCGTCCTGGGACCGAGCCCTGCGTTGGGCTCTGTGCTCTGTGGGGAGCCTGCTTTTCCCTCTCCCTCTGGCCCTCCCCCTGCTCCTGCTCTCTCTCTAATAAATAAGTAAAATCTTTATTAGAAGAAAACTAAGTGCACGAGAAAATGTTATTTTAAAACGCCGAGACAAAATTCTGGATCCAGTGTCAATTCACTCTTTCTTGGAGCTGTGCGACACCTAGCGCTTCACAGAATCATGGGTATCGACCTGGGTGCACGCACAGTGACCCCACGATGGGCAGTATGGATCAGAGAAGGTTGCGCTCCAACAGGTTACACCAGCTCCCCCGATGTTTGCCTCCAAAATCCTCTACTTTAATTACACTACAGAAATGTAAAAAAAGCAGTCCTATAGTTAAGCTGTCCGTTTTCTCCCCCTTCTGGATTTTAACATTTTAGTGCTGAGATCTGTTAGTAGCAGCCTTGAGGCTCATTAAGTCAGATACAATGTTAGCATTAACACCAGTGAAACATATTGAAAGAATGTTGATATTTAAATAAACGCAAGTTTCTCAAGAAAATGCATTTTAAATTTAAAAATAACTTCACATATCATATAAACAGTATGTTTATTAGTATAAGTAAAATCAGGGATACTGATGAACACAAAAATAAAAATGACCTTCTATTAGATCACCCAGAGATAATTACTGTTAACATGGTGGCATGATTCTTCTGGACCTTTCTCCATGCACAGTTGTTACAATTCTTAAAACAAAAATAGAACCACACTATATGATATTTTGTAACTTGTTCATTTACTCAAACAAAATAAACATCTGGCCAGTGTAATGTTAATCTACATCATGTTGTTGGCCCCAATGTGATGGATACAAGAACATTCACAACTAATTCCTTATTGTTGGGTATTTCAGTTGTATTCATTTTATTTCCTCAAATTTGAACACAAATTCTCAAAACTGGCACTGCTAAGGCAAAGGGTATAAACATGTTGCTAATTCTATATTTTACTGAGTGCTTTCTACAACCCAGGCCAGCACAGGATATATTTTCGAACAAGACAAGATCCTGATCTTTATTGAACTTGCTGTCTTTTCTGGGGAGGTACAGACTATATCGGCAACAACCTGAAACAATGAAGAAAATTTCAGATAGTGATTCTGTTATGAAGGAAATGGGACTGTTGTTTTAGAGTACCTGGGGAGGTATGGGGAAGATAGTGGGTAATTTTAGAAAAGGTGAAGAGGGCTCTGAAATACCATTTGAGCTGAAATCTGAAGTCAATAATACAATGAAAGAACGCTTCAGATAATTCTTATACAGAGCCTGAGGCTAGAACCAGCTCAAAATCTTCATAATCTGGGGTCTGCTTACTCTTTCAGTATCGAGCACTGTACTTGACACATACTAGGCACTAAAACTAAACAAAAATAAGCTTGAAAAATTCTGATTACGAAAACCTCTGGAACCTTGTCATGGAATCAATGAATCTGCGTTCAAAGCTACCTAGTTTGATGAGATGCAGGAGCTGCTCCGAGGGTGCACAGACAGACTGAGGCTTGATTTCATTAATGAGGCCATTAGCAATGCTGATGTAGCCATCATAGAGGAGCTGGCTAATGATCAGCTTGTAGAGCTGCTGGCGGTCCTTCAAGCCCACTTTGGTTCTGTACATCGTGGAGAAGAGGAAGACGATTTCCTTGCCAGCTGCAAAATGAGAAAACAGGGATGGTGAAGGGCAGAGGCACTAGGGAGTCACAGAAGCAACACAGCAATCCGGTCAGCCTTACGGGGCATAAATCCCAGCTCAACTAGTTGCATCATCTTTGGTCATCAACCTCCTTCCTCTGAGACCATGTTCCTCAGCTGTTAAGCAAGTTAGCAAAGGTTAAATAAGATGGTGCATGCAGAGCATTGAGCACAGTGGCACACAGAAATTATTCAAATCATGTTAGCGAATATTTACAGAACTTTCCATCAATTTTTCTTCTCTGTCAAACTACCTGCCTGTCATTTTTATTCTCTATTGCTATCCCAGAATCTTGTTTCTTCTGTTATAAGACACTGACTGGTATTTGCAATAGGTAAGACAGCTGTTGTTGTTGAATGTCTAGACACTACTGTTTCCACCAGCTGAGCAGTATGTTTACTGATGTCAGCAATGTTCATTCTTAAAACACATTTTAAGATAACTAAATTTGCTAAATTACATAATTTAATTAGATAGTAAATAAAAACACAAGGGCACAAAAGCCACAAAGCTTTGGAAAGATTCAAAGATGCTTAATAAAATACTGGCAAGTAGGATATGGCCAAAACAACGATAAAAACGTGGGGGGAAAAAAAGGTAAAAATCTAAAGGATTGTGCCCTTAGATTGGTTCACAAGTGCTTAAGTTCTCTCTTAGTGAAATGAAAACTGTAGATGATGGTTTCTGGTCTATGCAAAAAAATAAGTCCAATTGGTGGACATGAGTGGATAATTTGACTTCGAAAAATCAATGTTTGTATGTGTATGTTTATCTGGATAGCGATCAGAAGGCCACAGGAATCTGGGGCCAGTAATAAGGAACAGAAGTCACAGGCAGACAAGAAATTGAAAGTCAGAGCACAGGGGAGAGAGGAATACCAGAAAGGAGAGGAGTGAGCAGTAACACCAGTTCTGCCTGGATTGCTGTACTTGACAGGGAAAGATTCTGGAAGGGGGGTGTCTTACAGTAAAGGAGTGGGGAACCATGTTTTCTAACTCCCCCTGGAGAATAACTGAAGCTACTGATCATAAGAACAGTTAACAGTTACTGAGTGTTCAGCATGTTTCTTCTTACTTAGTCCTCAACACCATCCTGTAAGGGAGGCCCTGCAATCTTGTTTACAGATGAGAAGGGAAAATAACTTGTCCAAGGGCCCATGACCAGTGCCTGGAGAAACCGGGACTAGAATACAGATGGTTTAACTCAAGGACTGTGTTGTCCCTGATGACTTTCTGTAGTGTTCCTTAAAAATTTAATGACAGGGGCACCTGGGTGGCTCAGTCCATTAAGCATCTGCCTTCAGCTCAGGTCATGATCCCGGGATCCTGGGACTGAGCCCCGCATAGGGCTCCCTGCTCATTGGGGAGCCTGCTTCTCCCCCTGCCCCTCCCCCTGCTCATGCTCCCTCTCTCGCTCTCAAATAAATAAAAATCTTTAAAAAATTCAGTAATAAACTAGCTAAAATTTATTAGACATAAGTGTAGTATATAACACAGCGTAAGCAACTTATGCATTACCTCATTTAATACTCATCTAATCCTATTTTAGAGGCAACCTGAGGTGCAGCAGAGAGGTTAACTTACCCAGGATCAAAGAGCTTGTCAATGACACAGCCTGGATCCTTACCCAGGCTATCTGACCTCAGAGCTCCAGTCTTTACTGTGCTGCACTGATGGGTGTTAATAACTGCAGCTAACATCTATTAAGCACTTGCCAGACACCGTGCTAAGCACTTTACAAGCGTTATGAATGAACGAAATCACTGAATGAAATCAAAGTATTTAAGCAGACGTAGAAGCAACTGTATATAAATCTATGCTTGTGTAGACAACGCTACGACACAACAGAGATGATGAAACAGGCATAAAGAGGTTAGGAAACTGAAAATAAAGTGTGGCTGAGTAACTCGTCAAGTGGCCGCCTGGACTGCCCACAGCAGAGCCCAGAACTTAACCACTGTTCTCTCCCGTCTCTGCACCCATGCCAGGAGCATCGGCGGGGTATACAGAGATTCAGAAAGAAAAGAAAGGACGAGGCCCGCTTCTCAAGTCTCACAGAACGTTCGCTCGCTGGGCTAGCAAGTGCCTAATTACCACCCCTAATTTGCAGGTGAGGACGCCGAGGCCCCAGGACGGGAAGAACAAACCCTAGGAACTGTCTACACGCGGAACTGGAAGGGGGACCAGGGCGAGAACACACACGCCCCCTTCACGAAGCTCCGCTACCATCTCGCGGTAGAAGCGAACTAAGGATGGAGTGAGGGTGGGAGCGAGGCCTTCGAGGAAGAGAAGAGGGTGTGCAGGCCCAGCCTAGCAACTCAGGGCGCATGCCACCCCGCTCACTATCGGGCCTTCCCGCCTCGCTCATCTTTCCTGTGGTTCCGTGAAGACCCCAGCGGACCGCACCAGGCGCTCTCCATGCATCCCAGGCCCTCAGTACCCGCTAGTCCGGCTCTCTCGATCTCCCGCTTTCTCCCAGAAAAATGGAGGCGCGAATTCTGCCCGATCGATCGCTATGAGCGCACGTTCACTGCGCACGCGCAAAGGGCGAAGCGCCGAGCGCTGCGCTATCGATCGGCCCCACTCTCGCCTGCCCTTCTCGCCATCTTACTTACTGGCGCGTTGGAGTAGTTCGTTAACCTCCTCCGACTTTATCTCTTGCGCGACAACGTTGATTGGCACGAAGGAAATGCTGTCTGGCCGACAAACGTCGGATCCCGGAGAGCACCGCGGGCGCTAGAACTGCCAAAGTCTGGCGGGCGGTTGGCTCCACCACTTCCGGGGCCTTACCGGGCAAGTGCGCCTGCGCGCTGTCACCGCCTTGGACGGGACTCAAGCCGTCCGGTTGGCTGTGAACCAATCAAAAGGCAGCGCCTGTCTAGCCCAGGCCAATCAGCTTTCAGATTAGAGGGTTTAACTCCTATTTAAAATGTAGACTTTGAATCTTAACGGCTGAGCGCTCGGGAGGACTCGGCTGCCTTGGGTCGGAGGCGGGAGCCGACGGGTTCGTAGACTCTGGGACAGCTCTGTGAGACGGGTGGGCGAGGGCGGCGGGCCTGGTGGCTTTTTAGCGGGCGGCGGGACGGGTGGGGAGGAAGAGGGCGGTGGGGCTGCGGGGCCGGCGGGGAAGAGTCGCGGCGAGGCCTCCCTCGGTGCCCCCCCCCACTTTGGTCCTCCTCGGTCCGCCTCAGTCCTTCTCTTCCTCTCCCCGCCTGCATCCTCCCCGCTCCCCTCCTCTGGCCCCCCCCCCGGTGCTTTCCCAGCGCCCTCCCCTCTGCTCGCGGGTACTGGGGCGCCCTGTAAGATGCCGCTTGGTGTTTACTAAACACCTGCAGTGCATGGGGTTGTTGAGTGGCATGGGGGGTGGGGGTGCTTTCTGATGGGGTTCTCGTTTTCGGTGAGTACCTGGGTAAGAAAAAAATAGGAGGGCTTTTGCTCTCTGGGAGTTTGCGTCCTAGCGGGGGGGGGGGGGGGGGGGGGCGCCAGACGACGAACTGGCCGGAGAACTTGCAAAAGAAAACAGTAGTGTGGTTTACCGGGGGCTACTTGGGATAGCATAGCCAGGAAGGACCCTTGTCCTGGGTGGGTGAGTGGGTGAATGAATGAAAACTTCCTCCAAGAGGTTTTCTTTGGCTAGTGCTTCTCAAGCCGCAGATCTTGGACCGCGTTTATCGTGATTTCAGAGGGTCCTTGTGAAAAATGTAGACCCACCTAATGAATCAGAAGCGCTTGGGCCTAGAGGACCTCAGGTGTCTGTAGTTTGTCAAATTTCCCAGGTGATTCTGATGTTTCATGGAGAACCAGTGATCTAGACCAGCGCATACTAGACGTCTGGGGATGTTAAAATGCAGGATCTGGTTTGTTAGGTCTGTGGTTGGGCCCGAAAGTCTCCATTTCTAGCAAGTGCCCTCCAGATGGAGATGGAGCTACTACTGCCCTTGACTTTTAACGGTTCCTCCTCTCTCCTTAACCTTTCTTGTTCTTTGAATCAGATTCTTTTCAGCCACCTACTCATTCCCACTCTCCTCTAAGTCTATGCAGACACTAGCAAGTTTGATGAAGAAAAAGTCTAAAGGCATAGTGCTATATAAGCTTAACAGTTTTCCTGTTTAGAATAGTATGAATATGTGGCTTGAATTGCAGGAATCTTGTGCAAGTCATTGGGTCATGTGACCCTGGCTGTGGACTGGAGTCATTTGAGAAACAATTTTCCTGGGGCTCTCTCCAGAATTTTTGGATCAGAATCTTACTCCGTCCTGTTTATTATTATCTCCCTGAGAAGGAAAAGTATATTCAATTGGGGCAAATATCTAGTTTCTGTTGAAGACTATTGAATAAATGTCCTTAATTAAGCCTGTGTGATCTCATTAGTCTGCTGCTTGTGATCGTTAGGGAAAGTGAAGAAAGCATTAGAGCGTGTGTGAAATTAATGTTTGCATAACACAAGCTTATAACTCCTTTTTCCTTTCTGTCATTTCTCCTAACCTGTTTGATATAAGGACTCCTTGCTCTGTAGCTGTGGTTCTATCTTCAAAGTGGAGTTATTTGCTTATTTGTGAAATGGATGTGAAAGTGTGGGGGTGGGGGACACTTTCTGATTGGATTCTAGAATTCAGAGCACCTGGGCAGGAAAAATACAGAGAGGTTTGTTTCTTGGAGTATATGTCCTACTTACTTGATATATTGCTGTGCCTGACTCACAGTATGAGCTTAGTGTTATAAACTATTTGCATTATTGATTTGCTTTCTTAATGGATTAACTCATTCCCCAAACACTGGTGTAGGAACTACATACCAGACATGATCTGGGGAGGCAACATAAACAAAATGGGACTAAGCCCTCGCTCTCATGGAGCTTACTTTCCTTGGGGATACTGAGCAGGTAGCGGGATATTATCTGGGAGGACAGAAGTAAACAAGTACAAGTAATGTTATGTAAGATGTTAAGTAAGGGCTATGAAGAAAAATAAAAGCAAGATGGTCAGAAAGGAAACGTCTGAGCGGAGACTTGAATGTAATGAAGGAGCAAGCCACACTTCTATTTGAGGGAAGAGCCAAGTGGGTAGAAGAGCCAAGTGGGTAGAGGGAAGTACAAAGGCCCTGTGGCAGGGGACTGCTTTGAGGAAAGAAAGAAGCCCTGTATGGCTGGTGTGCAACAGAAAAGAGGAGATAAGGCCAGAAAGGTGGTCAGGGTCCATACTCTGAGACTGTAGGCCTGTCTATGCAGGTAGGATTTTGAATTTGAGTTGAGGGACCATGAGGGGCTTCTGAACCAAGGACCAGCATAGCTGACTTAATAGTTTGCGAAAGGACCATAATGGGGCAAGGGTGGAAGCAGAGTGATCATGGGAAGCCTGTTGCAAAGAGTTGAAGGGAGAGAGCATTGGTGTGATCAGGTGGTGGTATTAAAGGTCCTGAGCAGTGATTTTAAAGGTAGAGCCTACAAGATATGCTGATGGATTGATTAGATGTGGGGTTTGAGAGAGAACCGTGTAAAGGATAGTTGACACGAGCAACTGGCAGGCGGGGTTTGCCAGTAACTGAGATGGGGACATTTGTGAGAACAGGGTTGGACAGATGGGGGTAGGGAGGGAGCAGGAATTCCGTTTGAGACATTTTAAAATTGAGGGGCCTCCGATTACAGGCGGAGATGTTTCATAGGTGGTAGGAGTTCAGGAAAGGTCTGGACTGGAGAAGGAAGTTTGGAGGTCCTGAGCCTGTGAATGGTATTGAGAGCCAGGAAACTGGATGAGTTCCTATAGGGAATGAAGATAGCTGCAAAAGAGTGTTTCTGGGCCTAAGCTCAGGCTGCTCCTGAGAGCGGAGGGGAAGAAAAGCTAGGAGGAGAGAAGAGGTTCTTTCTGGATGTGTTGGGAGTGAGGTGCTTGGCAGACCTTTCTGGGGGATACTGAGCAGGTAGGTAGGTAGGTAGGAGTCTGGCAGTCAGAGGAGAGGTTAGGGTAGAAGATGTAAATTCACATCATCTTAAAGACGTTTCAAGCACTGGTGCTGGATGAGGGGTGCCCTAGGAAGGGTAGGGATGAAGAAGTGGGGTCAAAGGACTCATTCCTGGTCACCCCAGACTTTCAGGTTGGCAAAAGTGAGGCTAATCGAGCAAAGGAGGTTGCAGTAGGACAGCTGATAACATGGGGTACCACCCTGCAAGCTAGCAGAGGCTGGGAGTGGGAAAAGAGCCACCCTGTCAAATGCTGCTGGGGGACACCAATCTGGTACAGTAGACGTCAGTCATGAGCCGGCCCCTTGGTGGGTATGAAATCCTGATGGGGGAGAGGGCTAGAGGCTGAGAGAAATGGTGGATGTGGTGAGTGTGGATGACTGTTCTGGAGCTTTGCTGTTGAAGGGTGAGGAGGGAGGTGCTGTCATAGCCAGAGTCCGTTATGGGGAAGAGAGGACCTGCTTTTAAAAGGCAGCAGGGTTGGAAGCAGGCTCCTGCACTGATAAGTAATCCTTTAGAGACAAGTTGGTGGAGCGGGAGGACTCAGGGAGTGAAGCTGGGGGCTGGGGGAGGGGATGCAGTGTGGGGTGGAAGCCCCACATCTGTCCCTTACGTCACCTGAGAAAACAAGGCTCCCTGGCCAGCTTCATTTGGACAAAGAAAAAGTGTGAAATTTTCATCAGGAGCTATAACCGGGATCTAGCATAACTGCACTTGGAAGCACGAGGATTTGTATAAATTAAAGATGGTTCTTTTTCTTTTCAGGCATCATGGACCGATCTAAAGAAAACTGCATTGCAGGGCCTCTTAAGGTAAATTGGATAATCTGTATTCTCGATCACATTTATAAAACCCAATGGAGATTGGTTTTATATCTGGAGTTCTTTTTACTTTTACTTTGGATTGTAACTTTAGAACTCTCTGCTACATTCCTGGATGTCAGCCTCTTTTCCTGGCATTCAGTAACATTTTGTGGATTGTCACTGTAGCTTTTATTTTGTTCTGCTTTGTCTTCTAGCTAGCTGTTTAAGTATCTGCATTCCTCCAATGTGTGTAGGATAATACTGCACACAACAGGTTCCTAATACTTGCTTGTGCTTACTTGCTCACCAGAAATGAAATTGCTTTGCCGTAGTTTGTTCTGGTCACGATTCAGGGAATGGTAAGCTCAGAGGCTGTCAAGCTGCATTGTAGTGACCATTTCCTGGGAGCCCACTTTGAGCCAGGGCCCTGAGATCATGACTTGAGCTGAAGGCAGATGCTTAACTGACTGAGCCACCAAGTGCCCCTGATAAAGATCATTTTAAAAAAACTGCTCTGTTTAAAATGTTTGTCACTGCCTGAATGCCTACTGTGTTGTGGACATTGTTAATTTCAGAAGTAATTGACTTTTTACTTGGAAGTTGGGAACTATCTCTTGTGAGGCCCTCTGAGGCTTCCCTTGCCAGCCTTGTTCCCTCATTTATGAGGAAATTTCCTCCACTGAAGTTGGAGGAAGTCTTCCACCCCATTTTAGTTTGATTAGTTCAAGGTCTTAGAATTAACTATTTTTTAAGCTTATGATCCCCTACTTACAGGCATGTAAATAATATATTTTGGCATAATTCTTCGTAGAACCTGTTTGTTTCCTCTTTGCCATAGTTCTTTTGGCTCAGACCCATTTTGTAAGTATTTGGGACAATGAAACATTAGTAAATAATTAATAGTAATAAGTATTTTGTGGAAAATCTGGAATATGCAAAAATTCAGACTTTTTTTTTTTTAAGGTTTTACTTATTTATTGGACAGAGCACAAGCAGGGGGAGTG